TTGATAAACATGATAAAATGACATAGTGATGTCTATTACATTGATATGTAGCATGGTATTGACATGATATTATCTCTTGAATTGATAAGAATAATAAAATAACATAGTGATATCTATTACATTTATATGTAGCATGTTATTGACATGATAATGTCTATTGAGTAGATAAGTATGATGATATGACATAGTAATGTTTATTACATTGCTATATGACAAGCTACTGATATGGTAATGTCTCTTGAATTGATAAGTATTATGATATAGCATAGTGATGTTTATTACATTTATATATGACATGCTACTGACAAAATAATGTCTCTTGAATTGATAAGCATAATGATATGACATAGTGATGTTTATTATATTGATATATGACGTGCTACTAACATGGTAATGTCTTTTGATTTGATAAGAATGATGATATGACATAGTGATATTTATTACATTGATATATGATATGCTACTGACATGATAATGTATCTTGAATTGATAAGCATGATAATATAATATGATGATGTCTCTTGTGATTATTTGTAATTCTTGGCATGCTTTGGGTGTATTACATGGCCATGATTGATACCAGTGAGGTGTGCATGATGTGATATGTAATTTCTTGACACGCTTTGAGCGTATTGCATAGCTATGATTGACATCAGTGAGGTGCACGTGAACCTCCTTGACTCCCCATGCTACGACGGGAGTAGGGGGAGGAGATGGTTGGGTGGTTGCTCCCCCATTTATAGTGATTAGTGCTAACGTATGGATAAATACCAACAGTTATAGATAATTACTAACTAATGTTATCATAATCAAGAGAAACTTAATTAAAAGATATATAATCATACAGATACATATCCGTGCTGATATGTATTCATAATGATGTATATCAATATAGATATCCATAAGCTAACAATTAACACCCAGATAATGCAAACTCCTGGCCAAGTGAGCGTAAGGAGTAGTGTCTTGCAAGGCATGTACCTCTCAAAAGCCTCAAAGCGCACTGGGAACCATGTGTATGAGTGAGGTGCCACACCTCGAACGGAAGCTGGTAAGGTAGAAGTTTTAACCTTGGATCCGAGGTTCGTGCTTCTACTGCATGACTTCTTTTGTTGTGATTGATTGATGATGAGGTGTTTGATGGATTTTATGCTGAAATGCTTTGATCGATCATTATGCCTCAATTTTTTGTTTATATATATATATATATATATATATATATCACGAATTATGCTATATCGGTTTTCATTAGCACTTGATTACATTTTAATAAGTTAGATCCAGGATGGTTAAATGTCAATTGTGATAAATGCTTACACCAATGGTAAGACTTGTAAAATGAAGTATGCTATAGGTGACATGAATGAATTGGTATATGTATGAAATCATGACATCAAGTTTCCACTTACTGGGTTATGAAGCTCATCCATTACTTTCATCATGTAAGTAAGCTCATCCCTTACTTTCACCAGTTAATGAACATTGATAGAGAGCTTGCGCCAAGAGACTGTCATGCTGGATGTCGACCCTGTCGAGACGTTAGACTTGTATATTTTTATGACAGTTTGGCTTTGCCTTGTAATTATGTTATGATCTGAGTTTTATATTTTTTTTTGTTTCTGTGTATAGGGTGTATGGGACTCGGTATGGTCATGATGTCTTTTTTAATTCATGTTTATTATGGAAATATTTATGCTTATCTTTGTTCCTAGTGAATGCTCAAATCTTTTTGGTTGGGTGGTTATTAGAATTCATTTTCGAGTTGTTGAGTACTTGTTCGATATCGACTTTGATTCGACTTCCGTGTCCGACCCCATACCCTGCAGGCTTCGTGCTGGGGAGTCGGTAGGGGGCGGGGTCATGACAGACCCATACCATCTCAAAACCACTTCAGTCCTGACCTTCTATTCTGATCCCCAATTCATATCAGAAATCACTAGGTTTTCAACATAGCACACATTAGTGTCGGGTTGACAATCTGGATTGGTATGAATCAGTGATCCAAAATAATATTAAAAAATAATTAAAATAAAATAAAAATTGAAATAAGGGTTTATGTGGTGGGGATTTAAGGGTACCTAAGAAAACATTAAGCCAGCTTTAAAAAAAAAAACAAAAAAGAAAACAAAAAACGTTGGGTGGTTAGCAAGAATTGGGCTAGGAAATATACCATTCCAAAACTGGTCTTATTCGAAATAACCAAGATTTTCACAAGCCCAATCTGGATGAGAATCATTGCTTGGAATCAGATGTGGTGGGTGGCTAGGTGAATTCGTTCCGAAAACGGGAATAGACATTAGCCTCTCGTATTGACGTTATTTTACATGTTTTTGTATCTAAATAATCAAAACACACATATTTCGTAGGAATTTATGTACCTTATTCTCTTTAATCTTTTTTTGTTTTAAATTGCAACTAGATTACCAATTCGGACGACTCAAATCAACAACAAATATGAGTTTCAAATTGTTTGTGGTTGGTTGCATGAAGCCATGAACTTGTTTACCGCACTGGTGATTTTTAGTTACCATCTCTCCCTTTCTCTCTCTCTCTATCTCTCTCTCTCTCTCAATTACTCCTTGTATCAACTAGACTGAAGAGTTTCCACAAGGAATCAATTTTGTATTTTAAAAGTAGAGTGTACCTCAATAATTTTTTTGAAAATATGATATTTACGTAGTTGGAAAACCTTTCAATCATCTCGAACTCTAAATGTATGGGTCTGAAAAATTGATTTCAGGTCCTCAACATTATGAAGCTTGTTAAAACACTATTTAAACCATCTTTTTGCAAGATTTTTAGTTGTTTATAAATTTGCTCGATCTACACTAATTTTTAGAGCTTCAAATTTCGTATTAGGGGTAAAAATAGTTTTTTAGACTATTATTATGATTTCATACATTGAAATTATATATTTATAAGTTGGTAACGCATAATATATATATATATATATATATATATATATATATGAGTAATGATCCT